CGTGGCTAAATGAAAAACCAGCATCCTTGGGCTGAGCAAACCACATTTTTCCCTGAATGAAAGGACACTTAGAGAGGTCAAGTACACACCTGAAATTTCTAAAGCTTTGAGTGCTCCAAGAATTTTTATGTTCATAGGGGAATGGGCGCTGTTTTACTGGGTGTGTTCGGTTGGCCTTGCCCCCACCTGAGGGCCTGTCCTCAGTGCCACCAGGGGCCCCAGGTTCAGTCCAATCCCCATCCTCACTCCAGGGCCGAGCCATAGTTGTGAAATCAAACCAAAGCTCAGGTTCTTCCTCATCCAGCTCCTGGTCATCGTCCCATTCCTCTTCCTCCTCCTCCAACTTGTCACTGTCATCTCTTCCTATGGTTAGCTTGTAAACACAGTAGCAGGCACCAGCCCCAATCATCAGTCCTGCTGCCATCCAACCCACTTCCCGAGCCCGGCCCATGCTCCAGTCCGTGCCAGCCTTTGGACAGGACAGGAGAGGGCCTTGTTCCACCTGACTGAGGAGGATTCTTAGGGCCAGGGTGAGTAATGGTGGAGCGCAGTCCTCTTCAGCCTCTCCCGGGCTCCTGTAGCTCCCTTGTGATGAATCTATGGGTGCAAAATGGTATTAGGGTCCTGTGCTGTGTCTGAGTTTGTGCCTCACTACACAAATAGAGTGGAGTTTGAGTTCTGGTTGAGAGAGGTGGATTATTAGGAAACGACTTCCTTGTTCCTTTTTGTCACCCTCTATCTACCCTCAGGACCCACCATTTCTCTTCCAGGCCCTACAGAAAAGGGCAGAGGATGGGGCTGTGCTACCATAGCCAGGAGGGTGACAAGGAGAGGCACACACTCAGGTAGTTTCCTCCACTACCACCCCTTCCCCCAAAGATTCACAGGCAGGTCCCTCCCACCAACCTCTACCAACGTCAGGTAAATTTCTACTTCTTCCCTCGTCTTCTGTTGTCAGTACTCCTTCCACGGAGATTGATGGACAGTCTGGCAGAAGGTCGGAAAGACAGCTGGCTTTGGAGAACTGAAAGTGTGGTGGATGGATCAGCACTGAGAACACAGGTCCTAATACCCGCTTTTCTGCATTTTCAGCCTTTGACTTTAAAGTATTTCTCACACCTTCCCGACTTTCCAAACGCGGGCTCCCCCCTCCTCCCCCGTTATCGTCCGCCATTTCCCCAGCAAAGGCCGCCACACCCCTTTCCCTGCACTGAAATGGGAGGGGGTGTGGAGAAAGAAGGGGCCAGGAGAGGGCGACTCGGACCCGGCCCGCGCAGATGCCAGCCCTTCCTCCTCCGCCACCCCCAACGCCACCCCCAGCCAGGGTCCAGGGCTCATCCCACCTTCACACGGACCTGCACGGTCCCAAGGCAGTTTGCTCCTTCCCTCGGCACGACTTTTGAGGCGACCTATGGGCCAAGAGACCCTACAAACCTGCAAACAGGCAGGGAACCGAGGGGACGGAGCGCTTGGTGGACGGAGCAGGACTCGGGACACGAGTACCCTGAGTGTGGCACCTTGCTTCGGAGTCTCTGTCAACCGCCATTTACTCGCCTCACCCCCACCCAAAGTCCGCCGGTTCTCTCCGCTAAATGGGCACAAGGGAGGGGGGGGGCGGTGGTATTTAGAAAGTAGGCGGGAAGGGAACCCAGCCCGGATCAGCCCGAACCTGGATCCGGGGCGCCCTTGGCCCTCTCCTCTCCCCACCCGCCTCTAAGCAGAGCCCAGGCTCCTACCGACCTCGCGGTCCGGGGCTAGTTTCCTTCTTCCTTCACACGCCTGCGGAGTAATGGGGGGCTGGTACCCAGACGGAGGCGACTAGCAGGACTTCTGCTCTAGGCGGCTCTTGGTCACGTGACGACCACGTCACCGGTGAGCTCTGGCCCCCAATTTCCACTCCCACAAGCAGTGCGGCAGGCGCCAGCCTGCCCCGTACCTCCCCCCTTTGCACTGGGCCCTGTCACTCTTTTCCTCTATAACAATACCATTAAGCCAGAAGTGGCCGTGGCTCTCTGGTGTTTGAATTTGCCTAAGTATACGAAGGGGCCGCATCTTCTCGTGGGTCTGTCCTTCCTTATACTTCTTCTGGGGGGAAATTTCTTATCCTTTACTTGGCTCTGAAACGCCTGCCCCCCAGTCCTTAATTTCTACCCCTTTGCACATCCAGCCTCTGCACCAAAATTGGAGGTGGGAGGTGGCATAAAAGGAAGCTCAAGTAGTGAGGTTTTTATTAATATTTTTCATACATTTATGTTCTGTTTCTTCCTTCCTTTTTTATTGACTCAAGCTAGATTATTTTGTAACCAGAAAACATAATAAATCTATTTCACTTGGAGAAAAAAGAATTCAAGTTATGTACATATGTGTGTGTGTATATACATATATATATGTAATAAACAAAATTTTCCAGTTAATAGAGAGGCCTCATTGACTTGCTTAAATTAATTTGTACCCTGTTGAAAACGTTTTCTACTGACTGCACAGGAAATAGCAGCTTTCAAACAGCATATTAAAATTTAAAAACATATCCTTACAAACAAAACCAGTGTGCTTTCAGATGATTTATAAATTGGTGGATATAGTGAATCTATAGTGAGGTGGTCAGTGTTTTACTTGTGGCCATTTTCGATAAGTGAATCACTATCCCTTTCTTATTCCTGGCTTAACTCACAGTATTAAGTGTCAGACGGCTGAGAACTTCATAGAAGATTGCTGGATGGCTTTCACTCTGGCTTCAAAGGACAGACTTTATGCAGACCCTAAATTCAGCTGAATCTTACCGTTCAGATGAACTTTAGAAATCAGTAACTTCGCAGGTTAGCCTGTCTTTTGTTCAAAAGTCTTTATTTAAATTCTATTCTGAAGTTTCATGGTGTAACTCAGAAATAATCCATAAATTAGAGTTGTCCCTGTTATCCCACTGATGAAAATGAGACTCAATAGATGAAATATTTATTTAATTATGACACTGGTGAGATATCTCCGGGATCTGTTGTTCATGTACTATATGTCTGTTACCCCAGCAGCCCCTAGTGCTCAGCATCTTCCAGTGGAGACAGTGGTGAGGGTCTGTGGGTGACTGTGAATCACTGCAACACCCCTGAAATCGGTGTCATTTTTCCCTCACGAAGAGCATAGTTTACAGGATGCCAAGCAGTCACCACCAGGAGAAAGAGGCCTTTTCACTCCCTGCCTTCTGTTACAAGTTCACTGCACCACCCATACAAGCCCCTCAGAATAATCCCAGAACTCAGGGACAAAGTATGCAGAAGTTAGTCCCCAGACATTCAGCTGTGCCTGCTAGGGAGTCATACTCTAAATATAGACCCTTCAGGCAGCCTCTTTCTTAGAACGTTGAAATATGACACCCCAGCAGGAAGCTCCCCCTGTGAGGGGCCCCTGTGTGGGGGAGGCCCTTTCAGGAGGTGAGCCAGGGAGCCCAGAGTGCCTTGCTGGAGAATATTCAGAAGTCAAGAACACATCACAACTTTCTGTCTTCCTCAAAACGTTTATAGTCCAAACTCCTTCACAAGTATCACACCCCTTTTCTTTAAAAACGCTTACCACATTCGTTCTGCATCATCTCCTTCTACCGTTCTTTCTGTCTCCCTTTACTTTCTTCTCCTAGACAAGCGAATTCTATTTATGAAGCTTTACTAACAAATCTAACTGTCCATCATTCAATTTTTGGCTGCTAAGTAATTATATAAGTGGCTTTTGTTTGTTTTGAATGTATACACTAGAAAGAGCTAAGGAATTTGTAAAGCTTAACAAAGCTTCAAGGACAAAAGCGCCACTCTTCCCTCTCCTTACTAGTATAAAGGATCTCCCTCCCCCACTTTGGTATGTTTTCCGGTTATTCCAATGTGTAACTCCCCGACCACCATTTTCCCAGTCTGTCAGACTTTTCCCTGTCAGACCTTTCCCGTTTGAATCCATTCCCTCTCTAAAACGTCCCATACTCCATGGAAATGATAACCCTTTCAATTTCTCTCACTTCTTTGTCATTTAGATCCACAGTTTCTACCGGGGAACCTAGAAGCTAGCATTTAAAATCTATTTTGCTCCCCATTATACATCCATCAACAACTATTTAAGGGCATGCTATTTGCCTGACATACCGTTTCAAAAGCAAAAAAGGAAAATCCTTAAGCAGTTCCTCAGACAAGCCTGTTAAAAGTTCCTGAGCCTGCAGAAGGCTATGTGAAGCCACTGCTGAAAGGAACCTTTTGGCTCAAATTGGTCTGTGGTCCCAGGTGATAGTTGTCTTAGACAGTGCCACCAAACAAAAAAGGATCAGCAGATGCTAACACTAATGGGATTATAGAGAGTGAGAAAAAAATAACAGAGAGAAGATCTTTATTTTAAAAAGCTATATTACTTTTTGTATTGTGTTACTTGTTTTTGTGTTGTGTGTTAGTTAATTTTGTTTCGTTGCAGGCAACAGAACCCAAACCTGGTTTAACTGAAACAATGAGGGAGTGTTGCAGACCAGCATCAGCTCTGAGGGGGATAGGTAGGAGGAATTCACAGACAGTCTCTTCAGGATGCCATCGTTCTGCTGTTTTTTAAAATCTGCATTCTAGATTTAAATTTTAGTAAGAGAGTATTGAGTTGGTCTCTTTTGGGCACAATGCCCACCCTTTTGCTGGGGGGAAAGAGGGGGGATGTAAAATGTAAAATGCACTTCCTTTCTTTTCCCAGAGAGAAATGTAAATTGTTTCAGACAGTTGATTTGCTGGAGCCTTTTCTTTTCTTTTTTTTTTTTGGAGAGTGAGAGAGAGCACAGAGAAAGAGGGAGAGGGAGAAGCAGACTCCCCGCTGAGCACAGAGCTGGTCGCGGGGCTTGATCCCAGGATCCTGAGATCATGACCTGAGCCAAAGGTTCAACCAACCTGAGCCACCCAGGCGCCCCTTGCTGGAGCCTTTTAATGACTTTGGATGTTAACCCATTGTCCAGCCATGAATGAGATGCTGGGGGCCTGTGTGCCACAAAATGTCTTAGTTGTGGTTTTCACATTCACTAAACATCAGAGAGGTATAGTTCAGAAATGGTGATGCACAGGATCATATTCTAAGCCAGAGTGACCTGGCTTTCCTGACAGGATTCCTTAGGGTTGTATTTATAGTTCAGCGTCTTGCCCTCATTGTTGCATGATCAATCCCTGACTTTATCTGAAAGCAGAGGTCTCTATCAAGAAAAGACCCCCATTCATAGAGACTTGAATATAAATCTAGATCTGAACACCCGAACCCATGCATCTCTGCATTCCCCACCCCCTTTAAGTGGGCCAAAAGGGAAGCTAAGTACCGATAGGAGTGACAAGTGAATAATTTACCCTGAGAAATACAACTGTCAGAGGGTACTGATGTTTTTGTCAGTTTTAACAGTCCATTCTCTCTGTAAGCAAGCTACTACTTAAGAAGCCACAACGTCATGCGGCGCCTGGGTGGCTCAGTCGTTAAGCGTCTGCCTTCGGCTCAGGTCATGATCCCAGGGTCCTGGGATTGAGCCCCGCATGGCATCGGGCTCCCTGCTCGGCGGGAGGCCTGTTTCTCCCTCTCCCACTCCCCCTGCTTGTGTTCCTTCTCTCGCTGTGTCTCTCTCTGTCAAATAAAAAAATAAAATCTTAAAAAAAAAAAAAAAGAAGCCGCAACCTCAGAAGTTGCTTGGTGAGCCTGCAATCAGAGCAAGGGCACTGGTTCACCTTAAGAAGTGGCTTTCAGTTAAGGAAGCTCGAAGTACTCTTACACATTATGGGGATGGCTCTGCCAAGAAAAGCTGAATGTTCCATTCATCTTAGCCAGGACTCCCTCTCCCCAGACAGGGCTTGGGTGGGAAACTACCAACCCTTAGTCCTCTGACTCTTCTTTTCACACATTCCCATTCTTGAATAAGCCCCATGTTGCACATGATCTTTCTCTGAACACAGAATCACGTAGTTGATTTGGTTTTCTGTTTGCTAAATTTCAGTCATATCCTAGTACTGCCTCCTAGAAGTTACACAGAACTTCTCCGGAGTTCTGCCTATACCCAAGCTCTCCAGTCTCTTGATTTACTCCCGTATTGTCTGTGGATTGTACAAGTTATACTTAGATAATAGCCTTATATCTGAACTATTAAGGACTATCCCACTGTAGATCCCAACGTTCTGACATTATTTTTATTACTTTTCCCAATATAAAAAAAAGGTTCAGTCATTGCTGACAGGTGAATCATTGAGCTCACCAAACCAGTCAGTGAAATGTCTCCACACTAATGACTAGAAGCTAGAGGCCAAGTTCAGCCAATTTTATCTTTGTCTCAGTGTTTTTCTAATATTTATTTCAAGGT